CCCCCCCCCCCCCCGCCAACATTTTTTGGAAAATTAGTGGCCCCCCAAAAAAATTTGCTGCAGGGCATCATCGGCTTTTGCAGGGCAATTCTAGCAGACACCCCACTAATTAAAAGGGGCTAGTTTCGCCCCTGTATCCAATTTTGTCATGCTAATAATAAACAAGTAATCATGCGATGTTGCTCGTACAATTAGGGATTAATAGTACTCGTGATGTTTGGAAATTTGCCAAATTGGACTCGTCACGGCATCTCGTCCAATTTTGGCAAAATTTCCAAACATCACGAGTACTATTAATCCCTAATTGTACTCGCCATCGCATGATTACCTATACTAATATTGACCGAAAGCCGGCCAAAGCCAAAGGTCATGTTTTCAACAACAAACAAAGTAAAGTCAAAGATAGCCATTTATTGTCAACAACTAACAATTTTGGGTTTGATTCTTTTGTTTCGGGCAAATATTTATTAATTTGAGCCTGATTTCAGTTCGTAATTTATAGTAGGAATCGGCAAGTCAGAATATTATTAAAAAGCATGTTTTACGCAATAATTTTTCCAGCAATAATTCCACACCCCCTGTAATTTGTTTCCGAATTTTTAGTGTTCCGGTGTTCCGTGTTCTGGAATGATGCTGTTCCGGTGTTCCGTTGTTCCTGGTTTTACTAATAGCCTGCATGATTGGTTGGATTGGAAATAAATTATCATAGTAATTAGTGGGCGGTTATCAAATTTCCTTGAGATTGTTGCAGGCTCTCGTTTACCCATTGAGCCTGCCATGCAGGCTAAGATAGTAAAGGCATACGGTACATCAGAGAGAATGCGAGATATATCATATGGATTGTATATATACAGTATTGTTGCCGCCGAGCGCAGTGAGGCAGCACACTATTCTTGACGTGCTATGGTTTCTCCTGAGTCCACTCGACCCTGTCTTTCGCGCGAGTTATGTATTGTGACAATTGTCGAGATCTCGATTTTGTGTCTGTCAGGAATTCATACTTTTAAAGCTTTTGTGTCTGTCAGGAATTCATACTTCATACTTAAAGCTTCCGGAAGTTTTTTTAAACGAGAGGGGCGGTCAAGCTTTACTTTGTATTTCGCACGTATGATTGTTCTCAGGATTTCAGTTTTGATACGAGCTTATATGTCGGATTTTCACGATGCAATTTGCAAGCGATCGACATTCGACAGTATTTGGGATAAATCAAGTAAGAATGGCTTATTTCTGTTTATTTCTTTCTGGTGATATGCATTAGGTATTGAAACATTTAATTTCATGAATTTATCGGCAGTTTTAATAGCCAACTGTCACTGATCTATTCGTCAATGTCTTATTTATACAAGGAGTGAAAATGTACGTTTAGTTTATTTCTTTATGTGACAATGTGCCAAGGGAATGAGTTTATAGCGTTCATTCTAGATGTTTATAGCAAATAAGGCCTTAATATGCACATAATGCAATCATGCAGGCTTATTAATAAGATTCCTATAGAAACCCATGCAGTGTGGGGATTGTTGTCTGTAAATATTAACTTACCAGCGGCCGGTTGTTCGTAGCCCATTTAGCACAGCCAGAAATCACGGACAGGATTATTTTACTTCCTTACTAATTTGCATATCATTAATACATAACCCGTTGAAATATGGCTTCGGTAGTAAACAGTAAATTATATTACGCGATGAAGTCAACATTTAGGCCCCTCCGACGCCCCTGCGATTACGATACGATTCGGATTTTGAATGATTGAATTAAATTAAAACCTTGCTGTGCAATCACAGAGTAAGTATAGATAAAGGTCTCACTTAAAGCACAGTTAATATTCTATTAACAGTGTTTAAAGTTAATTTAGCGTAAGGATTTTTTTCAGTCCGCCATATTCTTAGCAAGTGTCCTAAAGAGTGGTCCCCCCTGAAAACATATTGAAATTTAATTTCTAGTGGGTGGGGGTGAACGCCTCTCGTGAGGGCACTTGCTGAGAACATGGCCGCCCGATATGCGCAGTAAAAACTACCTTACGGTTTTCCCGCAGAAGTGAGACCTCCTTATTTACTTACTCTGTGGTGCAATGGAACAAATCGTATAGTACAAAACTTCACGGTTGAGCGTGCAATAGTACGCGTACTAGAGACATAAAAGACTTAGGGGCATGTTTATATGAAAGCCGGGCTGGCCCGCTAAGCCAGACAACCCAGTAAGCTAGATCTCGCTGTGTAGTTATTTTTATAGTAAAATTGGCGTGCGTTTATATGAGCTTGCCCGGTTGCCGAGATTTCGCTTGAAAGAGATAAGATCTGGCTTTCCGGGATGGAAATTTCTCCATATACGCACTCACAAGTGGGCTGGCCCGGTTGCCTTGGATAATATGAAAGTTCAATCAAAGATACCGCCGCAAGCTATTTTTTATTAACTTACTTTCTCAAATTCATTAATAATTCATGAGTAATTCAGCCAATGATAATCACCTATTTGATCACAAGATGCCATTTGGATACTTGATGAAAGTCACTAGTGTTTTCATCAAATATCTTAATTACGCATGCAAAATTACTTGAATAGAATTCCTAATGACGTTATGCTTGGTTAAGAATTCTATTCAAATCAGCAAACGAAAACATTCTGTTACGTCTCGATTCATTTGAGAAGCCATATAAACAACTCGAGCTCGTGTCTCACCGGGATATCCAAACACTCGAAAACAATGTATGAAAACACTCGCGCTTCGCGTTCGTGTTCTCATACATTGTTTTCTCGTGTTTGGATATCCCGGTGAAACACTCGCTCTCGTTGTTCATATATTACATCAAAACAATTACAAAATTGTCCCGGCAAGCTCGCTAAGCGGGCCAGCTCGGCTTCCATATAAACAGATCTTGGAAAACGAAAGTACACATTATATTTTTATACTTTTGTTATATTATATATAGTTTCAATACCTCAAAAATGACGACAACATGGTAAACGAAATGCTACTCTTACTCAGTTCAGTTCATGTCGTCATTTTCGAGATATCGAAACTGAAAATGTGAAGAAAAAAATTTCCCGTCAACCTCACCATGATACTGATAAGAAGAATTATACAATGTTGAAAACGTGAAATGTGAAACAAGTCCACTATGATCAAACCGGATTTGTTTAAGACACGCGGCCTGTAGCTGTAAGTAAACCAACAGGTAAAGATGCCTCAGTTGGTATTGATATAACACTATATAATATTATGCACAGTAGTCTCAAAGAAAGAGCTTTTCCCAATTTGAGAAATGACCCCTTCCCTATATATCAAATCTAATGAGAAAGGAATCCAAGACGGATATTAAAAAACTTCCATACCCTCTAATCGCGTTTATGAAACTTGACTTTCCAACACCCGCATTTCCTGTGACGCCGATTTTAATTTTTATATCTTTCCAACCAATAAGTGTTTCTCTCATCATAGCTTGTGCTCCTGCGACTCCTTTCTCTTCAATCTGACGTTTCGCCTCTTGAAACTCTTCACTATATTCCTCATCTTTCGACTGAGCTTTGCCCATAGCGAACTAGCTCGAGCAGTTTTAATAAACTTTGACTTCGTGGCAACGACAAATCCTAGACGCAATACTAGACAGTATGACGTCCAATATTTGATTGGCTTATCTTTTCCAATTTTATCATTGTCGCACAATACATTCGATTTATATTAAAATAAAAACAGCTGCTGGCTACAACGTTTAATATTCTTGTTTCAAATTCGATGGTGAACAGTAAAGTATACTCAAGGTTTTTCGAAATATTAATGAATAATGGCTTGAGAAATCAGATTGATGTTATCTTTGTTATATAATTTGCATAACTACACAAGACTATAGCAATTATTTTTTCCGGGAACTATTTAGCATAAGAATCGAAGTATACACAGCGAGATATACAGCACCGAAAGAACATGCTGTATCTTTTATATATCGCATCACGACTGCTTCAAATTAAATGAAAACAGATTTGTATGCATGGGTTCAAGTTTAAGTTATATAGATGGGTAAATCACAGTCCAAGCAGCCGATATCTGAAGTGAAAGATGGGAATGATGTTCGTTTTGCCTTAGTAGGAACAGGTGGTTGTGGAAAGTCGGCTTTTGTCAACGCTGCCAGAGGGTATAATTGAATTTACTTTGTTTTAAATGAAAACTTTAAGTCTGAAAATAAGAGTATATATGTCAGTGAAATAAGAGTACAGAAAATTTGTATGAGAGTTTCTTCGAATAGTTCAGTCAAACGAGAAATAGTTCGGTCACCAGTTATCAATGCTACTCTCATGCACCGAGTGAACACGACAAACTATGGCAAGTTAGCAAGCAATGAGGAAACTTTCATGGCTAATTCAAACGAGAACAAGAGTTGAATGAGAGTTAATATGCAATGGAAAGCTTCAATGAAAGTTTCCGCAAATCTAATCGGTAGCTCGGTGTTGCATAAATGTTAGCAAGCAAGAGTTTAAATGCGAGATGTTTTCCATGAGAGTTTGCCAATATACAGGAGGAAAAGATCCATGAAAGCTTGAATTCAATTTATGGCATGCCTTGCCGATGCTAGCGCTATGCATGACTCAATATAGCATCTTTCTATCATGCAATGTATCTTCGGTTAAATAAATAAATGCCTATTTGAACTTGAATTTAATTAAGCTCGATAAATACGGTTTCAAATCAAGATCACCAAATGTTATACAAATGCCACAAGATGCACAATATGTAGGGACATATCCGAATCACTGTTTTTGAAAGCTTCAGTCCTGCTGAAAGGAATACTTAAGTTAGATTAGTAAGTATTGTGAAATATCAAATATCCATATATGTTATGAGGAATTTCCATCCATTCCAGCGACTAATGCTAAAGATCTCATTTCTTTAACCTTCCTTTATAACCTTCCCGACAATAAAGAATAACAATATTGGTAAAATTGTCCAGTTATTCAGTAATCAGTACCGTTTATCTATTACTCCTTAGCATTGACGATGAAGACGAGCTTGCAGCGAGCGTGGACGTTGTTGGAACAGAGCAACAGCCCACCGAATACATTTATCCATCAAATCCACACGTGTGTTTCTGCGATCTACCCGGTTATGGTACACCTAGCTATCCCGATCTTGAAACCTACTGGAGAATACTTGAATTGGAAAAGTTCGATATATTTCTTATTTTTATTTCACTGCGAGTAACAGAACTTGATCTTGCAATAATAAAGAAAGTCAAATCCATCAAAAAGTCATTCTTTCTCATTCGCACCAAGATTGATGTGGAATGCATGATGAATAAAGACCTATTATCGAAAATTAAGGATTATATAGTAACACGGACAAAACATCTGTCATGCGCTGAAGAAGACATCTTTCTTATCAGTAACTATTATCCGTTCGAGTGGGATTTCTTCAGATTGATACAAGCAATAATTCACGTTATGCCTTCTCCTGAAAAAGGTGAGTACCATTGAACTGAACAGTTACTATATTCATTTCAGTGTTGAGTATAGTGAGTAACAAAAACCTAGAATGAAGACGATGGTCTTTGCTTGGTGGTGTAAATAGTACGTATTAATCAATTTTAATCTCCCATACCCTAAAACCATTTGCAACTTCATATACTGTTACTAATTTTGATAAAAATTACAAAAATTATTAGCTTCTTCAAGGTACCGCTTTCTAGCTTTCCTTGAGCACTATAGCCAGTATTTCTCCGCCGACTACGCTTCTAGATGCATGGGGCAGACATAAAGTTTTAGGTCAGTATAACAATTCAGGCTGCAGCTCCCAAAATCAAAGGAATACAGTAAAACCTCATATACAGGTATAAGAACTTAGATTTTTCCATGTTAGCCTACTAAACATGTTCTTACGTACACAATGCTTGCTAGGAAATTAGGCTAAACAGATTCTTATATAGATTCTTATCAAATTTCAAATGACGCGAGCCAACAGACCACGACCCTTTCGTATATAAAAAGGGCGTGTGAATTGAACAAGTCACATATTATTAGCATTGGTGAAGATCCGGGCTTACGGATCGAAAGCTTCATGCAGTAATAATTTTACGTGGTGTTTCCACAAACAAAACAAACTATAATATGTTTTATCGCCATGCAAACTTACAAAGAACTTATAGATTCTTATTTTCTTACGAAAAAAGCGACTCATTTTCAGTAAGTGTGAATATAATTTATATAAATTTTGCACAAATTACTTAACAGTCCATGATGTTGGAAACATTGCTTACAATCACTATAGTAGTCATGACCTGATTTTCTGGGGTGCGCATCCCCTCAAATTGCATGTTTGCACCCTCCAGAACGTTTTCCTACCCCACCTATAGCGATGGATGCATGTCTGATGGTCGCATTCTCTTGAAAGACAATGTCGACGAGACCTAACTGAGGGCCCTGAAGGGGTAAAATAGGAACTGGGATTGATCTATTTTTCGACTGGGAAAATGGGATTTGGGTTGCTGGGATTGGGATTTGGCCACTGGGAATGGGAAATGAAGTCCTCAAAAATGGGAATGGGATTGAGGTAATGCGAGTCGATTCCCAATTTTTCTGCGTTTTGAGTATTTTAAAATACAATTTTGATCCGTTTTTGGTGTCTTTGGTCATGATTTTTGTTGTTAACTATATTATTCACAGCACTACCTGCGAACAGGCATACTCTGGCGCCCGGAATTCTGGGTTTTCTGATTGTACGTGTCTGAGAATGCTGCAAATGCCATTTCTGGGATTCAAATTTAAAAATTTTCCGTGCCTTCGGCACGAACCCCCCTAATATTTCATAAAGTGTCCGCCACTTGCTAAAACGTCTTAAAAGGTCTTAAAACTGTTTATTCTACCGATAAATAAAGCGGTTTTTATTGACTGGGATTTCAATAACTGGGATTGGAATTTCTAATAAAAATCCAACTGGGACTGGGATTTTGCCAAAATTTCAGGTGGGAAATGGGATTGGGACCCCCCCCTTCAGGACCCTCCTAACTGCACTTCAATTCACATCTTTTTTAATATTAAAAATGCTAGATGCGCGACCAGGATTCATAATAAATTCATAATAAAGTATTCATAATAAAGTAATCGACAGTTCGAAGACTGCAGACTGGCAGTCGAAAGCTTGTGTTTCAAATAAAAAAATTTACGATCAGAGAACGTTTCAGAAACTTTATCTTTTTTAATGTTACCTAAGAAATAATCAAATGAATGAAGGTACATAGTTTTCCGTTCGATTTAGTGGACATTTGCCTAAAATGAGAGGAGTTTAATAAATCTTTTCCGTACGTTTGCTTTCGTATCAAAGACGCATGGCTGGAAAGCAGACTTTTGGCCAGAAAAATATGGTACAATAATTGGCGTACGAGCCGTGTGGGCAGGAGTACAATCTCCTTTAACAATCTTGTATATGCCCCTTTAATAATCCTGTATATTTGACCTTGCATTTTATATTAACTGACAGCATGTACCTTTATAGATATCACCCAACAATATCTTGCCGAGGCAAGGACATACATTAAACAAAATGGTGTTTCTGGCATTGAAGAATTTCTCAGGAAAAAACTCGAGGGATCGAAAGATGTAAAAATAAGATTTGGCATAACAGGAGATAGTGGAACAGGGAAATCAACATTTATCAACGCAATAAGAGGGTAACAAGTTTTTATATTTCTTCTTTCGAGAAAACAAGCGGGCAGTGCCATGATATCGTTTGGCGACATTACGGGAATTAACGCGCGCAAACCACTTTCAGGAAGCTATATTTTTACAATTAGCTACCTAAATCAAACTCCCATCAGAAAGTACCCCGTCTCCAATTATGGTGTAACACATTTACTCCAAATCAAGCCTCGGATATAACCCAACACAAACAACAGAGAGGGTCATATACCTCTCACAGACTTAATATGCATATGATTGGTTAATCGGGTAAAATAAATGCATCTGATTGGTTAATGCAACGGTAGCTGTAGCTGAAGTCAAAATCTGAAATTCTGAAGCTTAATTAAATTAGTAAAATGATGTATAAAGCCGACAATAATATAAATTTTAAAATTAAAGCCGAGAACGTTTAATGTCTTTTGGCTGAATCATCATACTAAATAATGCAATATGTGCAAAACATATAAACTTTGTACTGAGCATTTACCAACATTTACTTTCTACTGAACACTCACTTAAACCTAAACATCATCTCACAAAATCAAATGTAATGTTTATTGGATTATTACATAATTTAAACAATAAAGTCAAAGACAATCATGTACTATTAAATAATGCTCCGGTTCCTCGAACTAACACGTTTACATGCTTGGGGGTAGACTTGGGGGATGAAAAATTGAACTGGGAGAAACACATAAAGAAAATATGTAGTAAGGTGAGTGTAGGAATTGGGGCGATGAGATGCATAAAACCCTTTAGTATTTTTGCACAAGTGAACATAACAAATCCTACACGTTGATTGGTCAAATTTGACTTATTAAGCTATTATATTTTATATTCAGCTACAGGTGACACAGGTGAATATAAAACCCACGAAATTTTCAAAATGGCGGCTAGTTGTTTTGTGGAAGTTACCGATAAAGAAATAAGCGAAATTAAAATAAATGCGGTCCAAAAAAACACAAAAAACTTGTGTAAAAATACTGTCTAAAACAATTATTCGCCTCACGCTCGGTGATATCGGGGAATATTCACCTCGACTTCGTCTCGGCGAATATTCCCCGATAATCACCTCGCCTTCGGTGAATAATTGTTAACAATAAACTTTAAATTTTTATTGTAATATATCTTAATTCATAATTTTGGATTGATATTTTCAGTCCACTGTATTTTCCTACTTAAGGTGGACTATTATTAAAACTCTATATTATTATAGAAAAGGTTCTGCCCACATACGTTACTGTTCTTGACTGAGGAATATTAAGCAGTTCTTCTGTGCAAGACCGGAGCGAGCAGACATAGCAACGTTCAATGAGGTCTAAATCAGACATGTAACTAGGATAGATCAAGGACATGTGCATAATTACAAAATATGCATAATTCTTATTTATAAATTGTGCTTTACTTTCTTGTATAGACTTAACGATGACGATGATGGTGCAGCAAAAGTAGACGTGGTTGAAGCAACGAAAGAGCCAACAGAATACCAACATCCTAACAATCAGATGATTATTTTCGTAGATTTACCCGGCATCGGTACGCCAAACTATCCTAATCTCCCTATCTACTCTGAGAAAGTTGGCCTTGAAGATTACGATACCTTCCTTATTTTCACTGCAAATCGTTTTACACAAAACGACTTGGAATTGGCAAAGAAAGTGAAATCCATTGGCAAGTCGTTCTCTCTTATCCGCACAAAGATCGATGTAGAATGTACGCCAAGAGAGGGACGATCAATTAACGAGCAAGAAATTTTGGAAAAGATGAATAAAGATTGCATAGATAACGTGAAAGATTTGATATCCAGTGAGAAAGAAATATTCCTGATTAGCAACTACCATAAAGACAAATGAGACTTTGACCGTCTGATTGCAGCCATCAGCGACGCCTTGCCCGTTCTTCAAAGAGAGTGTTTAACACTTTCTTTATCACATGTAACACGTGAATGCTTAAAAAGAAAGGCAAAGTTTTTCAAAGGTAGATATTGTTATGCATCTTGTCCAATGGACGAATGGAAAAGTCAAATGGAAATTTTATTTGTTTATTGGATATAGAGGAGAGCTTTGAATTCTCGAAAGTCCTGATATTTAACAATTCAGTTTGTATTCACCAAAAACGAGTTGAACAGTACATGCAAGCTAAATATTCATCGAAAACACGAAACGTCGAGGTGAATATCCTTGAACTATATTTACCGATACTGAGGTGAATTATTACTGAGTGTCATACCACAACAAAACAAAAATGGCCAAAAAACAACAAAAAAAATTTAAAACAATTTGTATTTCTGCTCCCGCAACAAAACATTATTTCAGTCCCAATTTTATTAGGAACGTTACAGCTTAAATTTAAAGAATACTTCCACATACTGCTATCAACGTATTTGGCAAACCCACAGGTTTAATGTTTAGGACAAAAAATTGCTCGTCTGTAACCAGAATGAAACAAGAAGCCATTTCGTTTTAGTCCGGAGCCGGAGATATATCTGGAAATATATCCAGAGTTGAACAACCACTCAACTCAAATTGCGCAAAAAGCACTATCCACGTCTCGAGTATATGCCAATGTTGTATGTCACTAATAGTAATAGACAATAATATAACATAATGCTAATATTTTTATTATTTCTAAACAAATCTAGCTCAAGCTGTTGCCGTGGCAGTCATTTCCGCTGGGACTGGTGCAATTCCAATTCCTGGCGTGGGAGGTGCTATTGATGCTGTACTTATTGGATGTACAATCACGGTCTATTACCGACAATTTGGTCTCAACAATACAACACCTGAAGAACTGGACTTGTTGAATAAAAAAATTAGGGAGATTATTAAAAGATATCACTTTACATCAGCTGTGGAGTTTGCTAAAACTTTTGCATCCAAAACATTTACAAGAATATTTGCAGTGGAAGAAGTTTCCACATTCATTCCAATCTTTGGAATGGTCATTGCAGGAAGTATATCGTTTGCTTTCACATTGCGTTATCTTTTATGTTCTATAAAAGAACTGGAAGAAGCTGCCATGGCTGTCTGGGATAACGCAGCGAAACGATCAGTTAGAGACGGCACAGATGATTCACAACCACAAAGTGATGAATAAACGGACGGGAATTTCTACCAGTATTCAATGCTTAAGTTTCAACAATCGTCTTCAATACAACATTTCAACAATAGACCTTACCGATTATTCTCTTTTACCCAATGGCCTCGTTTCCAACTTATTTTAGCATGTCAGGGGCAGATAAAGATTATATTCCCATGTTTTCCTGGAGGACTTATTTCTTGCTGTTCTTAGGCTCAATAACAAAGTGATTTTCAACTTACTAAGCACCAAACATGAGTAAGTACTTGACACGAAAACGAAGCCCATGGGGTGAAAAGTGAGTAAACGGTAAAGTCTATTGCGCTAGTGATACTACGTTGGCGTGGGAACTTCTCTCATGAATCAAGACGAAAAGTAATTATCGCATGGTTGATGAAAGCCCCCGGGCAAAAGAATTTTGTGGCACAATTCTCGAAATGTTGTATTGCTCAGGATTTGTACCAGGAACATGTACAAACGGTCAATCGGTTAAGTCGTTTTATATTCTCTTCTATAATTAACAATTGGTTAGTAGATCTCTTGGTCTGCATGTTGGGTGATTAGTTAGAGCTGGGTCAGCAAACAACGCAGATACATGTACATTTTCAAAGAAATACTTTTAGGAAGACACATGTACCCATATTTAAAATCTTAATATTGTAGTTACTAAATGTTTATAAATATTATGAGCAGTTGTAAATCGCATTGTGGAATTCATTAATTATTAATGAGGTTTGCATTCAATCAAATTTGAAACATTACGTCACATGTATACACTTGTAAAACCCACTGATTTGAAAACTAGGAGTGGATAATGCATAAATGAAGCCAATAGACCTTTCTCATAAGTGACGTCAAACGCGGAAAACCAATTACTGCAAGTCGCTGGCGAGCCAATAAACTTCGTAAAAATATCATTTGCATTGCGAATTGTCGCTAAAAATTTCCCTTTGGGACATCGCATTAAGTGTTTAATTTGCTGCGTTTGACTTCATTATAAGAAAGGTCTATGGCGGTCATATTGGTGTGAACACCAGAAATCGACAGCGGCATTTGTGACATAGTGGAAGAGGTTCTTACAGTTTCTAGTTATCGATGGGAAATGATAAACATGAAAAAAATGGGAAAGGATAAACATGAAATTTATCAACAGTGGTCTCATTTCCTCCATAAATGACTGCAACAAGTCTCATTATCTAATGTTTAAAACGTTCTGATGCTCAATAGCAGATATATGGAAAGCTATACGTGGGCAAAAACATTTTGTTTGATAATGTAGCTAATTTAAAGTGGTAATGGGAATGGCAAATTGTCGAACTCCCCCCTCCCCCCAAAAAAATGTCCGTCCCCAATTAGATTTAGTTGCTCGCGTCGCTGCATCAACGCAATGCATGTAAGCTATTGAGACGCGAGTGTGAATATTCCAATTCATGCCAGTGATAACAAATAATGTCGTTATTAAGCGCGAATATAATACCCATAAAGATATAAAAGATCGGTTGCTTATATTTTAACTAGTAGTAAGACATATACATGAGCCTAAGACCACCGTAGATGGCAGATAATCTCTGGTAATATATAATTGTGTTGAAATTATACGACCTCTATAAATTAATAATTTTTTCCAGGAAGTATTAGCATAAGAAAAGATTCAAAACTAAAACCGAACTCGGTATCAAGCTGTGCCTATTGTGTTATATAGCTTTAAGATCGAAGATTTGTGCGAATGAGGTTTTATTAGATATATATGGGGCAGTCGCAAACGAAACAAGTCAAACAACCAACACAAGAAGTCAAGCAAACAACACAAGAAGTCAAACAAACAACACAAAAAGATGGGAAGTTACGTTTCGCCGTGGCAGGAGAAAGTGGCGCTGGGAAATCGGCCTTTATCAACGCCATCAGAGGGTAAGAACTTTTCACAAATAATTATTGTCAAACGAATCGAATTCAAGTCATGTGTGTATGCCTACAATTTTCTATGTGTGCGTTGTAGATTTTGTTCATCAGTTCGAATAGATGTATCTTCTTCGCCCGCGTGAGCCAAGCGACCGTAACAGAGAACAGCCTTTATGCGATGTATAGTTAATAATTATTCACCGAAGTATAGGTGAATAGTGCAAGGATATTCACCAAGACGCGAAACATTGAGGTGAATATCCTTGCACTATTATTTACCGATACTGAAGTGAATAATTGTTTTAGCTTATGGCATACGAAAACAAAAATGACAAACATATTTTTAAAATAATTTGTATTACAGCTCCCGTAATAGTTATAAACAAAACGGCATTTATATAAGCTTTTTATTCATTAGATATAGCTTTAAAGAATACTTATACACACTGTTAAACAAAACTTCGTGTTTGGCGAAACCGAAGCTTCGTTTAGTACAAAGATTTGTTTGTGTGTAACCGGAACGAAACGGGAAGCCATTTTGTTTTTTGTCCGGAAGTGAATAGTGCAAGGACATCCAGAGCTGAGCAACCAATCAAATCGCGCGAAAAGCACTATCCAGCTCACGAGTAGGTAGCAAGTCCAGCAGCAACAGTCAACATCGTTCAATCACGGGAATACGCCACCTAACCAACTGAATATACGGCAATACAACGGCTCATCATTTTTTGCCGCGGTTTACCCAGTTGCAGTTCTCCCAGCAATACCACATAACGATTTAAACATTTCCGCAGGAATTAGAAGAGAAAGTAAAATTTTATTAACAAGCCATTACTTCTCATGCATCTGAAAAGGACGGAGTTAAACATACATTAATTTTAGGGGTGCACCGGATAGTGATTTTTACTATCCGGCCGGATACCGGATTTGCCGGATATCTGATAAAAATCCGACCGGATACCGGATATTTTATCAATTTGAATACTTGACATATAATATATATTTATAAGGATTTTTCTCATCCATGTATTAGTGCAGAAGAAGGTGACACTATTTTTTTAATTTTTGAGTAAATAATCAATTGTGGTTAACTAAAAATCTGCTTTTGATTTTTTCTACGGTTCACATGCTTCTGAAAACTTCCGAATGTTTTTGAGCGATGTGATTTAGTACGGCTTTTGGTGCCAAACCCTGCGAATAGTTAATTAATTCAATCAAGTATACCAGTGGCTAGCTTTTTCATGTCCTTTTTTGTTTTTTTTTAATTTTTTTAGTATTTTTTATGTTTCAATTAACGGAAATTTAGTACAATTCATGAAAAACAAATTATCCGGTATCCGACCGGATAATAGTAAATATCCGGCCGGATACCGGATAGTACGATTTTGTCACTATCCGACCAGATTATCCGGCCGGATACTATATCCGGTGCACCCCTAATTAATTTAATAACATCAGTGCTTCACTGTTTTGTGTAAAGTTACAGATGATGATCCTGGTACAAAAGTGCATTGGTGGATTTGTTGAGTTAGCAAGGATATAAATATAATTGCACTTTTTGCAAAGTTTTCTATATTAAGTAATAAATCGTGCTTCACTTTCTTGTATAGACTTAAAGATGACGATGATGGTGCAGCAAGAGTAGATGTGCTTGAAACAACGATGGAGCCAACGGAATATCAACATCCAGAGAACCCAATGATTAGTTTCGTAGATTTACCCGGCTACGGTACTCCAAACAATCCTGATCTCCCTACCTACTGGAAAAACGCTGGCCTTGATGATTACGATATCTTTCTCATTATCACACCAACACGTTTTAGACAAAATGACTTCGACTTGGCAAAGAAAATACATTCTACTGGAAAGTCGTTCTTCGTTATTCGCACAAAGATCGATTTCATCAAGTGGGAGATAAGAAAGAGATCATTTAACGAAGAAAAAACGTGGATGAAAATTAGAGAGGATTGCATGGAAAATGTCAAAGGCTTGATATCCAGTGAAAATGAAATTTTCCTTATTAGTAATTATGACCCACACAAATGGGATTTTCCCCGCCTGCATGGAGCAATCATCAATGCGTTGCCTGGACATCAAAGAGAATGTTTAAGTCGAAGAAAGACTTGGTCTCTCAGAGGTAAGAGTTGTTTACTGTTTCTGTATTATTTTTATTTAACATTATCTTGTATTATTTGCCTTATAGTTTTTCAGGGTGCCCCACTATGAGTTATGATTGAAATAATATTATATTTATTTTTAAAAGCCTACTTGAATCCCTTGGTCATCGATTATTTATTCTCTCTAAGTTTTGTAAACCTTTTAAATGGCTTGGAGTCATTATACTATCACTCTACATGACCTTCCACGAAGTACAGATGATCTCCGACAAGTAAGGAACGCGGGCGCGAAAAGTCGAAAGCGGCGGAAGAAGGGAGAAAGAAAGGGTTGAGATAGTAGATTTAATACGTTGATTTTTTGTATGTTTTTACAGTCATAAAACACTCAAAGATTTTTCTCGCACAATATGTTCCAGGAGTAGCATATTCTCGTGACTTCAAGCATAATGACTCCGAGTTTATATGGTTTACAGAACTTCGAAAGAATAAATAGTGGATGATCAAGGGATTCAAGTATGTTTTCTTAAAATAAATACAATATTATATCAATCATAATTCATAGTGGGCCCCCTGCGAAATTGCCGGAGAACAAGATACTCCTGAAGCACATCAATCGATCACTTCTTCCGCTGCCTTCTACGTGGTTTCAATTGTCTTTTTGAGCGATGTCATATAAATATAGACATGCAGTCATAATAAATGGCATTAATGGTAATAATTCATGAGCAATTAAAGACAAAGGAAATCAATCAATCAATCAATCAATGAAGCTTTATTAAAAAATACAAAAATAGGTAACATGGTGTCCTTTCACTAAAGTGCTCTTCCAAGGAGCCATGTAAAAATACAAAAAACAAAAGAAATTAGCTAAATATATATACAATCCTATCATATTTACAACTACTTAATCTTAGTATTAAATTTGAAAGTTAGAAAGTTTATTTTTGAAAAGATATATTGAAGCCTGACTTCTTATTTCATCCGGAAGATCGTTCCATAACACAGCCCCACGGTAGCCGAAGCTCCTTTTACCAGCCTCCGTTCTGGGTCTAGGGGTGAACATACTGTGCGAACTACCTCTAAGATTGTGAGAGCGGACTTGCGAGGTAGGTTCAAAAATAGTATTAAGCTCGTTGGGATATAAATTATTCACTGCTTTATAAATACTTGTTGCGAGCTGTTTAGCACGACGTTGGTCAAGAGTTTCCCAACCAAGACTGTGTAGTATATCAGCTGATCTTACGTCATAATCGGAGAAGGCTATTATCCTACCGGCTCTGTTTTGCAGTTTTTGGAGTTTTTCAGAGAGGGTTTTACCTAGGCAGCCCCAAACCTCACTACAATAGTCTGAGTAAGGTAACACTAAGGCTTTATATATCAGGATCAATGTGTTTTGGGGTACAAAAGTTCGAATCCGCTTTAACGCCCCAAGACTTGCACTTATCTTCTTACAAATGGTTTCAATATGTACTTGCCAATTTAAAGATTCATCAATTTCAAGACCCAAGTATCTATAAGAATACATTCTTTCTATAGACTGTCCATTAATTTGAATGTTAAAGCGATAATTCAGATTACTTAATCTCGCTTGGCTTCCTAGGATTAAGAATTTTGTCTTCTTTACATTCAGAGTAAGCTTATTAGCCCTTAGCCACGTTTGCACTTTTCTAAGTTCGTTATTTAGTTTAAGCTCTAGGTCTTTTGGATCGTTAGAACTAACAGTTAAACATGTATCATCAGCATACATCATAAGGGACGATGTAGAGAGGCAGGCTTGAAGATCATTAATATAAATTAGAAACAATAAGGGCCCAAGCACCGATCCCTGAGGAACCCCACAAGTAACAGGTAGCAAGCTAGACAATGTGCCATTAATGCTTGTGCATTGTTTGCGACCTGTTAGATATGATCTAAACCAATTGATAGAATTAGGATCTACGCCATACATCTCAAGCTTCTTTAATAAAATTGGATGGTTCACTGTATCAAAGGCTTTTTTTAAGTCTAGTAATAGAATTCCATTAAATAGCCCTTTATCAATATTTTGGTACCAATTGTTGGTAGATATTAGAAGAGTCGTAAGTGTTGAATGTAATGGTCTAAATCCATGTTGGGAACTAGACAATAGATTATTATCGATTAGGTATCCATAAAACTGAGAGAAAACGCTCTTTTCAATCATTTTACTGACAATCGGTAAGATAGATATTGGTCTATAATTATCAGGATCTGATTTTGTGTCTTCTTTACATATTGGCATTACCCTAGCTCTTTTCCAATCATTGGGAAATACCCCATTTCTTATGGATAAGTTTATTATATGGGTTAAGGATGAAAAAACAATTGGCGAAGCTTCTTTTAATAGCTTGCATGATATCTCATCTAAACCAGTAGATTTATTTACAGGAAGTGATTGGATCAAGTTGTACACAATTGTATTATTTGTCTCAGTGATAGAAAAATTATTATCGGTAGTGGTAATATATTGCTCAAAGTTAGAGTTTGAGGTGGGAACATTATTAACTAATTTAGGTCCAATTTGAGTAAAGTGGTTATTAAAAGCATTACTTATGTCACTTGTAGAAGTGTAGTTACAGTCACCAACTTTAATGCTGCTTATTACATTGGTATGGGAATTGTTACCCATAAGCTCATTCACACCTTTCCATGTGTTTATAATATCACCAAAGCTATTTCTAAAGTAATTGTGATAATATGCAGCTTTGGCATCTTGAATACATCTGTTAACATTATTTCGTGCACTTCTATACTTGGACCAGTTGTGTTCAGTATCATGTTTACTTGCTATTCTTTTCAGTCGGTCCCTCTCAAACATCAATTTCTTAAGTTCTGGGGTGAACCAAGGAGAGTGCTTATTCGAATTTTTCTACTCCGTTTGGGTGCATGAATATCAGATATTTTCAGGAATATAGTTTTCCAAGCATCCCAAGCAAGATTTGGATCATTTTCGTACTCCTCAATGATATGCCACCGGGCTAAGCTGAGATCATATCTAAATGAATTTGCGTTGAAATCTCTGCCTGCTGCGAAATAATTGCCTGCTGCGAATTATTCTAGGATCCTTTCTAGATACACAAAGTTTACGAATTGCATATACAAGTGAATGGTCACTAATACTAATGTGGCAAACTCCAGATTTCACATACATTGTTGGATTATTAGTAATAAATAAATCAATTGTAGTTGAAGAGCGTTCAGTTATTCGAGTAGGCTCTTTAATAAGTTGATGGTACTGGTATAAG